CTATTTCTGTTTATTACAAACCATTTATTATACCTTTATTTTTAGCGGTGACGGCCGCCCATACGATGGCCATCTTTAAAATAAGGAACGGGAATAGGAGAATACGGAATGGGGAATGGGAATCTTTAAAATTGGGAATCTTCAAGGTTCAAAACAACAGCCGGAACTTTCAGCACACTTGCCAACGATTTTAAACGTCGTTTATTAAGCCTTCTCACGCGTTCAAATTAAAGTCGGTGCTTGACAGTAGCGCAGCCGTTTGTCTTGGCAAAGTTGTTTATTTCACGCTTGAACAAACACCGGAAAATTGAGCCTTTCACTACGCTTTGTTAGGAAAGGATTGCTGCAACAAAAAATGTTGATCAAAATAAAGACTCTGATGCTGAAATTTATTAGTGACAGCCGGGGAAAAAATGAGCCTGGACAAAAGCCTACAAATTCACGCTGAAAGCTGAAAAATTATTTTGAGCCCTGATCTTTAAAACGAGGAATCTTTAAAAGCGGGAATCTTTAAAAGCGGGAATCTTTAAAACGAGGAATCTTTAAAACGAGGAATCTTTAAAATGGAGAATCTTTTAAAGCGTGGAATGAAATCGACCAAATGTATGAGCGGTCTGTGTGAAAGTTGCCCTCTTGAGGCGGGAATTCGTTAAAGATTACCATTTTAAAGATTCCCGCTTTTAAAGATTCCCCATTCCCTATTCCCCGTTCCTTCTTTTAAAGATAGCACCCACACAATCACCTTTATATTTAATAAGCGTCATACAAACATCATCAACATATGAATGTAAAACACTTACCGGTCTCATTTAAATCCTAACGGCGAAGAAGATTCTAACCGTTGCACTTCTCTTTACGTCTGTTGCCTTGAAAGCAACCACAAGTATTGTCAGGTATGCCTTTCGACGACCTATTCAACTTAGATGACCTCCTTTTTCGCAAGGGAAATCACTGAATTTCTTCGATACTTTGAAATTAGACACTCAGCGGGTATGAATATTCTGGACGTCACTGTCAGGTTAGACAAGTTAACGACTAGCGCCTCTTTCGAATGCTGATGTCTTTTCATCGCATCGCGCCTCGCGGAACGGACTTAATGGTAATAGGGAAAGTTTTATTGATTGTGTTCTCACGGCGTTGTTGAGTAATGTTTATCCTAACATGAGCACTGTTCGTCGAGTTCCTAAGTTAATCTAATCAAGAATGAATGCGCTTGTATGGTCTATTTCGAGAAATACAAACCTATGTTTGGGTTTAAAATTACTCTAGAAAGAAATTTTAGGCGTTTACAGGTACAAAAAAGGATCCTGCAACAAGAGCTGATTTGCGAGGATAATTTCCATCAGGTTGAAACTACCTGCTAATTAAGATTAATGAAAGATATAGCCAAACTGGCATAACTGTTAAAATTCATACTAATCATGACGGTATGAGAGCGACTGCGATCATGCTGAGGTCCATCGTATCGCGGCTCATCGTCGCAACAGAACAGAGCAAAGAGTCGAATTTAACCCTTTTGCCTGAATTTTTTTCAGTCTCCAATACAGAATCTGGAGGCGAAATGTTTAGCGAAATCCGACTCAGAAAAAACACGCAAATCTTTTCACATGATAATTTAGAAAACGAACTGCTCAAGGCGTGTGTTTTATGAATGAACGACTGCCGAATTCACAGGAACATGAAGATTGCTCGGCATGACAGCGCCGTAGAACTTAGCTGCAGTGACTGATGTGCCCTTCCACTCTACGCATTGAAAAGAATATCAGAGCAAGCTTTTAACTGTTCATTCGTAGGGCGGTCGATGTAATTTCTGAGGCTTGCTTCATTGCGATGACTGGAGATCGCCACGATGAGCTAGCCGTGATGGTTCTCTGCATGATGTCGTGATGATTGGAATGAATTTAAACATTATGCCAGTTTTATTTTTATAGCCAGGCTATATTTCTCTTCATTCGGACACCCGCTTCGTGGTGGTCTTCCGAAATCGCTCGTTCGATTGCAGACCTAATCAATATTATAACAACATTCTCGAACGTGAATGGTCATCACCAGCCTGATTTGAGCACTCATAGGAAAGGGCACGCATCATGCTTGTAAATGGACAATATAATAGGACATTTAAAGGGACAGTTAATACGTCATGCCTGTGCGGCTTCGACAAAACCTGGATCGTACTCGTTTGGATTATGGATTGGATCACGGATCGGATCACGGATCATATCACGGATCATGCTAAATAAATTAGAAATTTTGCGTGGCAAGCTTCTTTAGGATGCATTTCTGAATATTGTCCTCACTGGCGCCGAGGAAAGGCTTTGACTTTGAAATAAGAAAGCCTTTTGAGACCAGTTTCAGTTTGCGGTGGGGATGGCTGACAACTTGCTGATATGCCCTACGCACACTCTCCTCATGAAATAATCCCCACTCTCTAGGGTTTTGTGGCTCCACTTCCTGATTTTGACCACAAATGTGTGGTGATTTGGGTAGCACAATACCTTCTACCAACTTTTTGACATCTTTTTCATTTTTTCAATGGCCTCTGAGTTGTTATGAAAGCAGCTTTGTGAATATACCATTCCTCACATTGCCACTGCATTGAGGTGGTACTCACTACATAATCTCTTTCTGCATCACTGAAGGATAACAACCTCGACACATCTTTGCTAGAGATGTTGGGATGGCCTTTAACAATCTCGGGTACTTTGGTACTCATGATACCTGTCCTAGCCTTACGAAAAGGCTTATTGTCCGTTCTGAGTGAGCTTTGGGGTAAGATAACTGCAGGTGCATCAGTTTTTAATCTACATCTTTTTGGGAATTGACAGAGATATTCCTCTTCTTTTGGATACCTGCCTTCAGGAGCGCAAACATCTCAGTCAATATACTGGGGATGAATGTGTTTATGTTTCTTCTTTTGTGAGGGTTTTTTTTTAATTTGTTTTTGATCACCAGGTCCTTCACTTTGCACGATTTAGTATTTTCTATAGGTTTTTTAAACCAGATAATGGCCACTGGTTACACTACCTTTACCTCGGGTGTTTAACAAATCTTTTAGGGAATACAAGGCAGCTGCAATGTGCTTGCTTCCCCCATTTCGACCACCTTTACATTTACATCTAGCTTGAAATATACTTCCCCGTGAAATCTAAAGCCCAAAAGGTGAATTGACATGATCCGATTCGCGATCCGGTCCGTGATCCAGTCCGATCCAATCCGGTCCAATCCTGATTTTGTCGACGCCGATGCCTGCGTAACTGGACAGAAGACGTCGTGTGTTTTTGCCGGGTTAACAGTTTTTTTAAAAATTTTTTTTTTTATGAAGACGTATGAACGATATCAAGTTCTATCCTACGCAAGGATAGAAGTTTATTGCAAAAATTTCTTAAAATATTTAAATATTTTTGTGAAATGTTTTATTGTTATTTAACAAAAAAATTTTAAATCCCCCAGATAAACATTTTCTAAATCCATTTCTGATAAAACAGTGGCGGAAAAACGTCAATCTCTCTCAAAGTCTTTTTTTTTTTTTTTTTTTTTTTTTTTCGGGACGTAACGACAACCTTTCGCCATGGATTTCCTCTTAGCAACTTGTAGTGTTAGCTCCCTGGCGATCCAAGAAACCTTTTATTGTAACATAGGGATCCATTTTACTGATAATTTATTTATTTTCCTTATTTCGAAATGTCTAAGTTTGCCGCTACTTAGTCATTGAGCAAATGTTTTGCCATAAAATCTCTGAAACTGATGTCTCAGGATTAATGGTTTATCGGAAAGAAGAAAGACTTCTTTTACTGAGGGAAGAAAAAGAGAGATTTTGAATATTCAGTCAGGCGGAAGATTAATTGCGGGCTCATCTTGGCCCCCATCTAATTCCTATTGTCAAAATAATTGGCTGACGTTTTTCAGAACGCTTCATGCGTGAGCATTTAAATTCAAGTTTTGCCGACAGAATTACACAGCAGATTGAACAAAAAAAAGTATTTACGTATTTCTGTCAGGGACAAGTTCTTCTACATAAAGTAAGTATTTTCTAGATCCTGCTTTCCCGCTGATAAAAACAACTTTTTTAAAAACTAGACTAATTGAACTCGGAACGAAATCAAATTACTTGTCAAATCATTGAAATCGTTCAAAGTAAAAATGCTCTCAACGCAGCTAAGCCCCCACTCTAAAGCTATGGAAGAAGGATCGATCCAGAATATTCGGATGTATATCGTATCATCAGTGGTGTCGGTATCATAGAGAACCTGCTGGCGCACTTGCTAGTCTAACTGAATCATTCGCTCTCGGTTAAATCGAACGCCTTCTACGCTGTATAGCATACTCGCAGCAGAACAGACGCAATATCCATAAAATAAACAGAACAATTGAACCCCTAGGATAATTATGATACATGGAACGATGATTCATGCATCTAACCCTAGTTAAATACGGTACTCGTACAACCTCGGAGTCGCAACATGTTACAAAAATCTGAATTTGCTAAGTTACAAATTATAAAACCATGCCAAACATTTTTGGGAAATGATTAAGGCATGGATACGATTTTCGTCTGTAATCCTTGTGTACATGTACCTAATTTTGTTTTCCTAAGATGTAATAATTTTAATTCGGGGAAAACTTGCTTTGTCTCTGAAAACTTCCATGTGGAGTTTTGACATTGCTTGAAGCCTACTTTATTATTGTTGATTGTTACTGTTGCGTGATGCTTTGAAGCAGTCCGTCTTTTCAACAAAAACATGGTCCTATGCAAAACAAAGCGATGTTGAACTAGTGAAAAATAGTCTCAACATGGCGATACAAAACCTGTTTGGATGTTATACGGGAAAAGTTAAGAATTAGAAGATTGTCAAAACGTTCCTAATAGAGATGTTCTCAGTATATGCAAAATGCCAGAATAATCGAATACCACGCTTTGCTAAACTTTTCAATTTATTTAGCTAAGATCCGCCTTTCAATTCTCTTTTTATTGACCTTGAACCTCATTATGTTTTATGTTTAGTTATGCTCCGAAAAGAAACACTGAGTTGAAAAAACGAAAATTTCAAACCTCCGCGAGGTGAGTGATGATTAGCTTTACGTACATGACAGTTGATTTTGAACAGTATCCAAGGCCAAGAAACAATTTTTAAAGAGAGGGAGGGGAGGGTGCATCATATGTGTCTTGCCGGTGACACACTTTGCGATTTTTTTCACCGATCGCGACGAACGAGGATTAATTCCTTTACGAAAGGAAACTTCAAGGTGGTGCAAGTTCGGGTTGTTGACTATTTTATAGATGGCTTATCGCAAGGAATCCTACAAACATCCTTGGGAAACTAATTTTTAAGCGACTCCAGAGCTTCTCGAATTTACAGTGAGAATACTGAAGCCTCTCAGTGAATTAAGAAGTTTTTCCTGTTCCACTAAATCATTAAAACGGATTTTGGGAGATTTAGTGGTCAATTATAACAAAAAACGTGGAGGAGACTTGGACCCCCATAGTAGTAAACGTATTTTGGGGTCGAAAGAAATGGTACTCAATAGCTGTAGGAGCCAAATCGACCAGCCCACCAAAAAAGCATTATGAATTGGTTGTAAGTTATATATGCTTATACATCTTGTTTTAAGAAACGCGACCTAAACGAACATGAGGAAAATAGGTAAAGTTATGCAGCATCGGCCAGATAGTTTGTTTTCGTGGTTCGTTTGCGTTTGCGCCTCTTTGTGTCAAGGACTGGACCTTGGTTTTGCAGTTAGCTATGGAGTGTTGCTTCCTGAAGTTATGGACGAGTTTGGGGAAAGCCGGCAAAAAACTGGTAAGTTAGCATGTGTTATCCTAAAAATTTCCTCGAAAATATGATATAAATGCGTCATGCAGTTAGATAGGTTTGCTTAGGATGATCCTTGGTAATGTGGATTTCATCCTTGTAATAACAGAATTAAGCAATTCTTTCTCTCAATATTCAATCTGGTCTAGTTTATTATCTTTTTTCTCCTTTCGAGCATAGAGCTTAGGTGTGAATTTAACAGAGTTCTCAATTTGTAATCTGGAAAGCTGTGAATTTAAGTGGTAACCTTTCGGCCCTCTTTTTCATCTATCCTAACTGATTCATAATTGACTGAAATTCAATTCCAGTTTGGGTCGGATCTATTGCATTTGGATTGACCTTTTTCCTCGGTCCGCTGGCGTCGTTTCTCTGTCAAATGATTGGATGTCGCTTCCCTGCCATGCTTGGATGTTTTCTGTGTGGTACAAGCTTTTTGCTAACTGCACATGCGACCAGTCTTCAGTGGATGTTTTCCACATATGGCTGTTTGTATGGTTTGGGTTCTTCGTTATTGTTTTCATCTTACCTTCTCATAACAGCAAAGAACTTTTGTAAATGGCGGTTTCTCGCAGTAGGGATCGTTTCAGTCGGGGGCAGCATTGGAGTCCTAATTCTGGGCCCAGTGCTACAGCTCCTGATAGACAATGTAGGCTGGAGAGGAACATACATGATGATGAGTATACCCTTTTTTGTGATGGCGCTTATTTGTGGTGCTACATTTAGTGATCCTATTGTCAATTTTTCGAGAGCCGAAGCGTCTACCATATCTCTGATGGAAATAGATACATTAAAGAAAGATACTGAAATTTCAGTAATTGATAGACATCAAGAGGACGTCAATTTAAAAACAGAAAGAGATTACATTAACGAGGATTGCTATAGAGTGGAGCAAAAGCTTAATAGAACTAGATCTCTGCAAGCAGTGGTAGTCAAAGCTAGCTACCTAAAGGATAGGAACAATAAGAATCCAAATAAGACAGGAACATTACGAAAGCTGCTGGACTTGTCTGTGTTCAAGGTTCCTTCTTACACTGTAGCGATGATAAGTCTTCTGTTGATGAATTTTGGACATTATGTACCTCAGCTATACCTAGTAAGTAGTCTGCAGTAATCCCTACCACAGGTAGCCCAAACTAGTCACCCGGCTGCGTTTGAATTATGTTCTTATCACGCGTTTGTAGAAATGTCGGGATTTCTGCTAGGAAACGATTGCATCAGGAAACTTAAACCCTTCAGGCTTTGGCTATAAAAAGATTGCCAACCACGCCCTTCTTAGTCACTGACGTGGTTTTAGGGTCGATTTATAGAGATTTGGGCCGCTCAGAACTCATCTTCTTTTTCATTCACTTAGCACGTGAAGTGCCCTAGTAGTTAGCAATCGACATGTCATCTACATCGGACACAAAGAAACACGCGACTAACGCGAGGTCTGCTGGATATTTCTTTAGAGCGATACCGGGCATTTGATACGATTGATACTGTCAGATGCAAGAATAAAATTTACGTTTTCCAGAATTTGTCACTAACTTCTTTTCGATCTTGGTTCACAGGTAAAACATTGCCTCGATCTCGGCATTTCTGCTGATTCAGCCTCCCAGCTTTTTATTCTTCTTGGTTTATCATCCTCCGTTGCCCGCGTTATAACTGGGAGACTGTGACGTTAAGTGGATAAATGTGATTTATATTTACCAATTTGGAGACCTGCTTATCGGACTTGTTATCATTTCCCTCCTATTGATAAGAAGCTACACGGGACTTCAAGTTTTTTCCGTTTTTTACGGCGTTGGGGATGGCATCTTCACCACAACGATGAACTCCCTCCTTGTGTTTAGTGTGGACGAGGAGCTCAGAGCAGCTGGATTGGGCCTGGGTAATATGTTATTGTCATTGGGGATAGTAGCCGGGCCTCCGGTTGCAGGTTTGGAAGCCATTATTATTGAAAGAATATACTTTAACACTAAAATCCAAGCTGTACAATGTCTCCCTTGCTGTAGTTTGTATAACATGCAAGCATCCATTACGAATGTAGAAGCTTGGGAGCGCATGTATTTGAAATTATCCAAGTCTTATTATCATGTTGGATGAAAAACGCAATTCCAACTTTTAGCAACTTTAAAAGTTGTCTTATTGTAACAATCGGAGTTGCGGACGCTTTCTCGGTATTTTAAACTTAAAAATATCCATGTTTCTTGCGAAATGAGACTAATATCCTTTATTGATAGGTAACGATTTGGAAAATTAGTCCCTTTGACGGTCACAAACCCTATTTATTTATCAACGTTTTGTTTCTTTCTCCAGGACTCTTGGTGGATATGTCTGATTGCTACACCTGGGCATTTTTTATGGCTGGTATTGTGACGCAGTTAGCTGGTCTGATGCCGCTGGTTCTGTTCTTCTTTAAGAAAAAGAAAGACGATGGCCCTAAGGGATATGAAATCCGAGAAACGCGCTTGTGATTGAACTCAATGCTAGAAATTTTTCCCATGCGGTGGTTGTCAAAACGTAGGCAGGGAGAGGTAGGATAAAGCCGATCTCAAGGAGAAATTTTCTGTGAAATGTTGACATAATTTGTGATTAAATGTGCGTGAAAACCGCGCCCTCTGACTGACAGAGCTTTGTTATGAAATCAGGACCTTAGCTTTCGAGCGCCGAAGGTGCGAGCCGCTTGGGGCTTGGGGGGTCTGTTTTGCAATATTTTGAAACATAGAGGCTCAGAAATAATCTTTTAAGCATTTCCCGTGGCATTTTTCAATCTTCAAAATCAAGAAAAGCAATTGTCAACCTATGGCCCTGAAAAATATGCGCTTGATTCGAAAAACAAGATCTTTTGGTATTTTTGGCCTAAACGTCCGCTGTAACTTAATCAAGCGTATCTTATTTACAAGATGCAATGAATTGCAAGTGATGGTTAATATTTAATAATAAGGGAGTACACTTTACTTCGATTTGTTTTTCCCACCTTCTTTACTTTAACACAATCGAAGCTGCGTGAGAGCGTCATGAAAATATAGAACAGTGTAGATGATAGTGTCATTAGCTGACATCATGCAAGCAACTGGCCTGGAAGAAACGAATGGTGGTTTGCGACAAAATGAAAACAATTAAGGAGACCAATATGATGAAATAATTTGTATACATTTATTATAGAAGGGAAGAAATGCGCATATCGCGATACTCGATAAAGCCTTGTATCTTCAAATTTCCTTTGTTCCGCCTAAATCTTGATTTATGTCTGACGTCAAAGAGAAAGAAACTAATCTCTATATGATGCGTTAGCTTACATAGCTAGGTGTTCCATCACTATTTAAATAAAACAGTTGGGTTTCTTTTTGTCTTTCTTTTTTGTTTTTGTTTTGCTTCTTTTCTTTTTGGCATTGTGAATTTTTTTCTATTTCTGGATGCTTCAAGAAAGCTAAAATTAAAATGTAGACCTAAAATTTATGAGGTACAAGGCTCTTATCTAAGCGGGTAATTTATTATTATCACCTGAGTTTATAACGTAAATTGGCCACCGTAAAGAGTTTCGAAGCTAACGTTTTGACCGTTAGCCCTTCGTCAGAGCGAATTATTCGCTCTTTACGGTGGCCAATTAACGTTATCAACTCAGTTGATAATACTTAATAACTCTGTTATACTCTCCCACTGACGCAGCACCAAGTTAAGTTTCGAAAGGAACGGTTTCTTTTCTATTCTTTTATCTAACTGGTCATATAAATGAATGTTATTAGACAAACTGTCTCGGGGCATTTCAGGACCTGTAAGAATCCAGACTTCTCTGGCAGGCGAGTGGCTTTGCCATCGAATTTTAAGTGTAGGAAGGGGACCCTTGACGCAAAGTCCGAAGATAGACATTCTTAAACCTAAGACTTCCTGAAATTTTTAAAATGGGAGCTAAGTTCACTCGGCCAGAACTGATTGGGGTGATCAGTATACCCTTGTGTGTTGTGTGCGGCTGCGTTCAGTTTCTACTGGAGTTATTTTCACAACATACTTTATCTATGAAACTAATAAGCTATCATTACAACCCTGCAACTAGTGATGCTTTTCATGTCTAACTTATTCCATCGAGACCTTGTCTCAGGAAGTTTATACGTTCTGGAAGCAGTTTATACATACAGGTTCATGGGCTGGAACACCGGTGATGTGTGAACTGTGGATAAAGAAGTGAATTGATGTTCGCAGTAATGAACACTACCTAAGCAGTAGAGGAAATAAGGCCTGAAAGAGATTCAGGCCTGCTGCTTAAGTAGTGTTTATTACTGCGAAGATCGCTTTCATGTTCACTCCGTTATCCGCAGTTCACATAATTATGATTTTCATATATTCACAGACACTTAAAAAAACCTTGTCTATAAACACCCACATATTTACCAAATAAACAAAGGAATTGCCTGAAGGCCGGAAAAAAATTTCTGCACCCTCCTGTCATGAAAACAAATGCCATCAATTAATCATGAAGAAATTAATCGAGAATAAATTGCAGCCACCGGCAAGTTTCTTTGATCTGTATTAACATGGGGTTTCAGCGACGTTTAAACATGTTCAGATGTAAAAAGTCAATTCGTGTTCTATCATTTTAAATCTAATCTCAGCATGAAGCGAGGGTGTACAATAAGACAATTTAAAAGTTTTAAATTCTTTGTTGAAGCGTTCATTTTCTAGAATCCATGGATGGATGAGCAACAATTGTTACTGACTCTCTGTGATGTTCGCTATTCTTTTTATTTCTTTTGTTCTTTTGTGATTTGTTTTATGTTTTCTGCTGCATTCTGTTTGACAAGTCAGCCAAGTCATTCTCCTGCTGAAGTCAGATAAACGTGAGGCACGGCATACTTTCCAGTTTGCCGTGAATTTGTTTTCAGTCTTCAGAAAACAAGCCGCTTGCTTTCGTTGGTAGAGTCACAGGGGCCTAGAGATTCAACAAAGTAGTGAGATAGTGAGACACTAAGGTAAGTGGTTAGAAGATTCACAACACTGAATAGCGTCAGTTATTTCATTGATTGAAACACAGTTTACAGTCATTGCTGAACACAGATTAAATAAATGACTGTAAATATATATGAAAATCACGTATGTGCACTGCGGTTGAAGAAACAAATATAGGCGATCCTCGCAGTTATGAACACTACTGAACTAGTAGTTGAAATCAGGCCTGAAAAGAAAAAAACTCAGTGTCACTTCG